GGCCCGAAGGCCTGAGGTAAATTCCCCTCAGAAGTAACTAAAAAAAAATTTTTTTTAACAAATAACTGAAAACGAAAGAAGCTAAGAAATAACTGCTAAGAGCGGAGAGGCGAAGCTGAACGCGAGGCTAACAGTGATCCGATCAGACCGAGAAGGAAAGAAGGTCTTTCCAACACGGCGGTAAGAAAGGAACTGGCGGGATGTCCGCGCCCACCCCCTCTGGGCATGCGCGGTGGGGTTCCTGCGCATGCCCTGGGGGCGAAAATCCGTTAAAAGAGCTTGCTACAGCACCAATCGATCCAGCGCGTGCACACTGAATCCCATTGGTGTGAAGCACAGAGACCACGACGAAGATCCACAAGAATCAGCCTGCCACTTCACAGGCTGATTAATACACAGTGCCACCAAAAGGAGTCTTGGTATGCCTCTTCCAGCACAAAAGACACAAATACCTTGTTTTTTCTAGAATTTCACACTAGACAACTGCTTCCACTTTGCCTGGTATACTGTTTGATAACTTGTGAATTGACCTTCAATGCATTTAGGGTATGGACCAAAAAAATCCACACATTGGGGCCATGGGGGAGACAGTTTCTGCAAACCTGGGAAGATCCCTAAGTTTACAGGTAAGTCTGAAACCTATAAAATAAAACATGGACAGGGGGAGAAGGAAAGATGCAGTGAAGGGAAGAGGAGAGATGGCAGGCAAAGCAGAAGATAGGGGAGATTAGAAACAGAAAAGGGGGCTCCTGCAGGAGCTGCTGGGGGAGTGAAACAGGAAAAGCAGAGATAATGTTTATCCAGAAGCAAGAGAAAAAGTTTATATTCTGCCTTACTTCATATACAAGTTCATGGTGAAAATGGGGTACTTCTAACTCCTGAAGGCAACGTTCTGCTTCTAAAACATCTCCTGAAAGAAGGTATTCTTTCAACAGCATATCAACCTAGCAGTTTAAAAACAAGAGAGTATTAGACTAGAGTGTTGCTACTTGCAGTAAAGATCTCTTTCTAAATTTCCACCCGAATTGTGACTTGATCAACACCAGGGGAAAAAGCGTGCTGGAATATACATGAAAGACACAGCAGTAATCTAACATGGTACCAATATATATAGACCACATGAGTCTATACATACTACATAACCAGAAATAACAGAATTCACATCAGCAAAGTTTCAGTTTTCTCCAAAACCCTCTTTCCCCTCAACTGGTGCTATATTTTAAAAATGTAGCAATCATTAGATTTCTTCTTCCACTTAACTTCTGTATAGTACCACTAAGCATACTGGCAACAACATATATACAACTCAGATTCTCCTATATACTTTGAAGTCACTAATAGGAACAAGTTTCTGCCTGTAACATTTTTGCCTTCCATCGAATTGGAATGAAATTTTACCACTCACCTAAGGGTTCCTCCCTGCCAAATTTCAGACAGATACAAAAAGGGGTCTCTCTTCAAAGGCAATTAAAATTCTCACTTCCAGAGTGGGTACAGGGAGGCATGAATATGCTGTATGAATTTTCCCCTTCTTTCCTAGAATCCTGAAGGAAGGGTGGGAGTACCCCCCCCCCCCCCGGCCAGCTTCCAATGTTGGAAGTGATCTGGGCTGGGAGAAAAACCAATCAGCCACCAGAGAAAGGCACAGGAAGGACAACATTACTCCCCACACCCTCACAATCTGGTTTAATTTAAAATTATGCCCATCACAATTCCAGAGTTACACATGAATGGGAAGACATGTGAACAAGTATCATCAACTGTGGCCCTGGATTAAAAAGGGTTGCCTTTCCTCCCAACTCTCACCCTCTGTATGGCTATTTTAAAATTAAAATTAAAAGTACTAACATTAAGATACCTCTGATTTTTAATCAGCTGTTTTCTCTTGCATACAGAAATCTGATCTTTTCTCATGACTGACTTCTGGCATGTCATGTGGATTGATCCTAAGTGTCTGTGTTTACTGTTAGATTGGCTATGCCCAGGGCAGGGAAGCCAGCAAAGTCTTTGCCTCCCTGCAATCTGCCTTCCATCTTAGGAGAGCACTTGCCTCTCTCCTCTACAGGATGGGTGAGCTGACTATTGTCAGGAGGATGGGGTCTGAGTATTTAATTCCCTTATCTCTCCCCTGCCCCAGTCTGGACTTTGCTGCCTACCAGAAGACTCAAGCATATGCCTGACTAGCACAACCTTAGACAAAATAGATCAAGCAAACAGAACCTGTGTTAATATGGAATGAAGCATCAAAGACTGTGACAGTGCAACGATTGGTGGAAATGCTGTGCAGAGAAATGCCTAATGGAATTATTCTATTTAGTGAGTGGTTTTACAACACCCCTTTTGGTTATGTAGCTGCTCAGGCACTCTCTTCCCACTGCCTGAGAAACTGACAGTAAGGCACCAGAATAATGATCATTACCTAACATTTCCAATTGTTACCAATACTGTAAATTATTGCTGTTGAATTATATTAAGATACTGAAGTGATTCAGGTAAGATATTGTCTAATTGTCTGACAGCACATTCCTACTAATAATGCTGAGGACTGAACCTGGGACTATATACATACAATGCACATGCTGTGCCACTGATATATGAGTCCATCACTCACAATTCAACACTATCTGCCCCTGAAGCAATATAATTGTATTGAATATATCCAAATTAGTATATAATCTATTACTGAGGAACAGCATTTGTAAATGAAATACCTCTTTAACAAGATGTTTCACAGACTGCTGCCCGCCTCCTGATCCCCATGCATTGTCTGTGCGTTTTCCACCTTTAGACATACTTAGCAGCACAGTAGCTCGATCCAGAGCAGCACTATGAAGAGAAAGGTTAAGTTACATATATATGTGCACACACACATATATAAACCCACTAGCATATACAGTCAGGCCCAGTTCACATGGAGCATTTGCCTCGTGGAAGGCACGATAGTCGGGCGGATTTTCTGGGCGCGATCACACCGGAACATCTGGGAGGCGTAGCGCACCCGTGGCCAACCCATGGCATGCCGCCAAAGATGCGCATTTAAAAGGTACCTGCAGCAACCTACTGGCAAATGGTTTGCCATGGGCTGCATACGGACTCCCGCGGTGTGATCGCGCCGGTGCATGGCTATCCCCCCAGGTCGTCCTCTTTGCTGCGCGCGCTGACGGAGGAAGCCCCGGTGTGCTGCCGTTGCGTCTGATAGCCTACGGGCGGATCAGAATGCGATGGCGCAAATGGCCATGCCTCCCCCGCGAGTTATCTGGCCCGTGTGACCGAGGCCTCCGTTATCTTTAAGCAACTGTACATTCACCAGAATGAAGCATTCAAGCAAAGGCGTGGGAACTTCGATTCAAGATCTACACACCAAAAGGCCAATACACAACAAAGAAAATAATAAATTTAAAGAGCTGTAGCTATTTCACTAAAAAGGCATCAATACATCACAAAATACAAGCATTTATTGCTCACACATAGCCAAAGGAAACAAAGTAGAAACAAAAGTAATTCTGCTGGATCGTATTATTATTGGAAGAATAATAGGTGAAAGCAGTGGACTTGCTTATGCCAAATTAAAAAGACTTCACAGGGCAAAAGCTTGTCTATTAGGAATATACTAAGTGTACTACTTTTCTAGAAGGAAGAATACGAACCCTACTGCTTCAAACAATAGTCAGTCCAGCACTGTAAACTGTCTCCAACCTATATATCTAATTCTCAACAGTCCCCGCTGTGTGTGAATAATTCCTGCAGATAGGGGGCACACTCTCCCCCAACAGGTTTTTCTGCAGACTCAGGGGACCCTGTGGGTATGAAAAAAATCCAAAAAACAAAACAAAAAAACCCAAACTCGGGGAGGGTTGAATCCCTCCCCCCAATACCTTTTGAAATGACTGCAGGGATCTACTCCAGGCCCTGCCTCATCGACAGTGAGAGATAGCCAGAGAGACAGAGAGATATGATGAGTGGGGGAAGAGGGCAGGAAGCAAAAGGAGGACTGGATCTCGGACTGAGAAGGATTCCTCCTGCAGTATGAATGGCTAAATTACAGAAGGGTTGGAGCCAGGCCTGGGACTAGGATTACACACTCCAGGTTGGGCAACCCTGGAGATTATGTGGTGAAGTCTGAGGGCTGTAGAGTTTGGGGAGGGGAGTGGCTTAATCTGGATATAATGATACAGAGTCCACCCATTTTCTCCAGGGGAACAGCTCTCTGTTGTCTGTAGTTCAATTGTAATTCTGGGGGATTTCCAGGTCCCACCTGGAGGCGGGCAAACCGAAGCCCAGCAGCACCCTCTGCGTGACTTGAGTCCACGTGACTTGCATGATTCAACTAGGCCTGTCTGCTTGCTACTGTTCAACAGCAGCCACCCTATGAAAGTCAGTGTAGTTAGTATAATTTTCAGAGCTTCACAGTAGGGTTTGTGAGACCCAGGTTTAGATCCCCATCTTGCTGCGGAAGCTCACTGGGTGATTTTGGACCAGTCCCATATTTTCAGTTGAACCTATCTCATAGGGTTGTTCTATGGATAAAAAGGAGGAGAGAATAATGTAAACTGATTTAGTCCCCACTGTACAGAAAGACCTCAGTAGAAGCTGCATGGGGAAAGGGGACAGAAAACTGAAGACAGAGGAGCAGATAAAGGTAGGTTGGCTGTTGGGTGGGGAAGGAGATAGGGATGCCAACTCCAGGTTGGGAAATTCCTGGATATTTGAGGGGTGGAGCCTGGGATGGTGGGGATTGAGGCAGAGGGACTTCAGACAGATATAACGCCACAGACTCCACCCTCCAAAGCAGTCCTTTCCTCCAGGGAAACTAATGTTGCCAACCTCCAGGTGAGGGCTGGAGATCTCCTGGAATTACAACTGATCTCCAGATGACACAGATCAGTTCCCCCAGAGAAAAAGGCTGTTTTGAAGGGTGGAGTTGATAGTATTATACCCTATTGAGGTCACTTCCACATTCAAAGCACATCCTCCCAAGGCTCTACCGCCAAATCTCCAAGGATTTCCCAACATGGGGTTGGCAATCTTAAAAGGAACTGATCTCTGTATTTGGGCAATCCGCTGTGGTTCCTGGAGAGTAGTTGCTCGCCACTGCTGCTAGGGGGGAGTAGGTGGGAGTCCAGTAGAGTGATGGGGTGGGGGCAGAAAGGAAGTGACAGGCATGGAGGGGAGAAAGAAAAGGGGTAGCAGGAAGGAGAAAGAGAGTGAGAGAAGTAGGGGAGAGGGGAAGCAGAGGTGGGGGGATGGGATAGCCACTCCCGCAGTTTCTGGTGGGTGCCCACTTGTAATATCCAGATGTTTGAGAAAGCTGACTGTATTCCTATCATCCACTCCTAGGCTCTGTCAACCAAAGAATTAGAGGTCACTGCAAACATCAGAACATCAGAATGCATCAGAATGCATCATCCTTGCACCACCCATTAATTATGTAGCCATTTTCTCTGAATTCTGTACATCTGTACATTAGTCATCAACATTTTGGAGGGACAAAATTCCAGAAAACATGCAATGTTGGGGGGAAAGTTGCTTTCAGTGTTTTGAAGGAGAGTGTCTCCACAAAATCCAAAGTTTAGCTTTGTTTTAAAGTAGACAGTCATACCCAGTTTACTTCATGACTACAGATTCTGGAATGCTTTAATCAGGTTTAATTGTGAAGCAGGCCTCATCTACAAACGGTTAAGCACTTACCGAGCCTGAGCACAGTCCACAGTGCCTTTGTAGCCATCTATGTAACTACTGCATAGAATCCCATCTCCAACAGCTCTTGCAATGAACTGACCCACCAGCTGCCATAAAAAGAAAATGTCTTAGAGACTCAATTTCAGTTAGATTGAAACACTGGACTCACCTTGAGGGCTTCTTCTCTCATCAGTGGATTGGAAGGTATCCTTGCCTGGGCTGTGCCTCCTGCTTGCTCCATGGACAGGGCATATGAATTTTTTCTGCAACAGCTTCCATTTTCTCAAGGAGATGCTTGACCCCCCACCCCCATTCATATCTTGCCAAGCTTCTGAGGAAGACAGTTCCACCTCTAGCACAGCAAGCATAGATAACAATTGAGTTGTCCCTGGAGACCTGTATCTGGAGGTACAGTAAGCCAGATGGACGGAATAAATCAATCCCAGATGGTCTCCCTGTTGACCTTCCTCCTCCGCCAACTAGGTTAGGAAAGGATACTTTCCAATTCACTGATGAGAAGAAACTCCTAAGTCCAATATTTTGTTCTCCATCAGTGGAGGAAGATATTCTTATAAGGAATATTGAAAAGCTCTATTATTCCAGGTGAAAAACAATGGAGAGGACAGAAATTACTGAGGAGCTACTTTGATGAAGGATTCTTCTGCCAAACGCTCCCTCAGTTGAGAAAGCCACATCTATTCTGTAGTGGCTCACAAAAGCAGAGGTTGATACCCAAGTAGCTGCCCTTCAGATTTCTGCAAAGGATGCATTGGTGGAAATGCCTGCAGAAGTAGAGACCGTTCTCATAAAATGGGTGCTGGAATATGTTGTAAGCCAGGGAAATGCAAGCTTTGATCCACCTGGCTATGGCCTTCTTCCCTATAGTATTTAGTAAGGAGACAAAACAAGGCATCTGAAGGCCTCTGTCCTTTTAGTGTAGATGTGGAGAGCCATCTAATTTGTGCCAGTCACGTTCCTTAGGATGGCTGGGATTTGGACAGAAAGAAGTAAAGGAAGAACCACCTTCTGAAGGCAAATGCAGCCTCCCATTGTCCCTTCACCAACTTAGGGCTCCCTTTCCAAGGCCAAGTGTGTGTGTGTGGGGGGGGGGGGAATGCCCCCAGTGCTTATATTTTCCAGGTCCTCCTGACCTTGCAATGTCAACAGGGTGAGAGGCACTGGCTTGAATGAGCTGTGCATGTCTCTGCCAACACGCTTGTCCACCACTACAGCAGGAAAGGGAAGAGGGCCTTGCTGTTTGCTTCCCATCCCTGCCAGTGCTTCAACAGAACAGAGAAGAGCAACAGCACTCACTCCTTTCAGAGGTTTGTTTCAGGGGCCCCAGAGGATGAAGCTGCTGTGCTATCCTGCTGTGGTGGCTCCACTCCACTATCTTGGGGCATGCCGTCCAAGACAGCTTCTTTTTTGCCCCAGCCATCACTGCTAGTGAGACAGAGGCAAAGGGAGCTGGTGCTGCTTTTTCAGGTGTTATCAGCATTTTGTCTTCTTTTCCCTTAGCCAGGTGAGAGGTGTGGAAGCTTGCCCATCCACAGAGCAAGCAGGGCATGGGAAGAGAGCCTCCTCAGGACAGCAGAAGCTTTTGTAAGAAATCTGCATATGCACTGCCCACAGAGCAAGGAACAGGCACAACCCACATAAGGATACCTTCCTCCATAGACAGAGAATGTGATCTCTGATCAACAATAAGATGATTGATACCCAAGTAATGGTATGCCACCAAAATGAAAGACGGTGTCCTACTGTTTTCCTCTGAGGCCATCAAAGCAGCAGCACATGTGTTGTAGTAGTGCTGCCCCTCAGCTACCCATATCTCTTCTGTTGGACCACCAAACATATCACAATGTCTGCTCAAAACAAGGACAGAAGGATATATTTCTAACTGGATTACTTTTAGCCCAATGGGTGCAGCGGATGACAAATCTGATACTGTTCAGTGACTACAAATACAAGCCACAAAAACCCTGATTCAAATCTCACTTACTTGATCCATTCACTAGGTGTTCTCTTCTTAGTCACTTGGAGGGAACAGAAAGACTTACACTATATTAGCTTTGGCATTGCTATAAGCCTTGCTCCCTCAAACCTACAATCTTCAGTATTGGGATAATTTACAGGACTAGTATAAATATGACTAAGATAGTCATGTGAAGTGCCTGGTTTTGAGGAAGAGAGCTCTTGTTCACATCCCTAGTAAAGTGAGACAATTTTCATGCTTTCATGTTACCCAGACAGATGTTACAGAGGTTCCCTCTGCAAAGGTCAGACCCTAGTCTGAGAAATGCTGAATTGGGATGTATTATAGGCAGAATTTACAGCTCAGAAAAAAAATATGTTTGTTTGGTTAGGAGTTCTGTGGTACACAAAGCCAAACTGCCAAACACCAGAATCTGTCTTTTGAAGTTTCACAAACTTTTTGTACAAAACTTTAGAAGATAACAAGAGGGGGACCCGCGATATTCGCGGGGGGGGAGGGGGAGAAGAGCTCCGTCTCCTCCATCCCCCCCCCGCTCGATCTCCCCGAGCGGAGGCGCTGGGGGCAGCGGCGAGGCCGGTCTCCCCCCCGCCCGGCTCCGTGGCGGAGGCGGCGGCAGCGGCGAAGCCAGACCTCCCCCGGC